GCAGGCCCGCGCGCGGGCCGCCCGAGAACGCGAAGCGCCGTTTGGGGCGCGCTCCAGCTGGAAACGGCCGGGCCGAGGGGCTGCTGCGGTGCGGCCGAGCAGGACGTGCGCGGGGTGGGTGGGCGCGCTGGGCGCGGAGGGCAGGCCACGGGGGTGATGCCCACGGCTGGGAGCTCTGGAAACCGGGCGGGGGGCCAGGTGAGGGCATCGAGGGGAGGCATTTCCTTTTCTGGCCATTGGTGGGGTTGCTCGCCCTCGCCTTCGCCTTCGCCTTTTATACTTGCTGAAACCCAAAAGCCCCATTTGGCGCAGCGTTTCCAGAAACTTGTTTTATTTGTGCACCAGACAGCGCCTGCATTTTCAACGCCCTCTCTTGCTGTTGCTGCCTGCCCTGTGGGTGGTCTGTTATTCCCGATAAAGCCGCTGAGCTCCTTGGAAGATGGGAGCCTCGGGTTGAGTGGCGTTCATTCGGCGCACTTGACATTCAAGTATTAATTGAGTGAATGAATGGTTTACTTGTTAAGGATCACAGAAGGTACTTAACCAAACTAGGAAAGACGCAGTTTTAGAATTAACGGAGGTGGGGGGTGGGGACGTGCAGAGTTGGATGAGACTAATTTTAGTGGGGTATAACCAGAAGGGGCAGTCCTTTCTGTGGGAAGTGAGAAGGTGGTGGTGACCCCTGCAAAGACAAGTGCAGGGCAAATGGGAGCTTGGCTCCCAGAAGGAGAGAGAACGAGGCTCCACAGGTTGATAGGGATGAGGTTGCGTGCCGTGACTGATTTTTCGTGGAGGGCTGTTAACGGTATTTGAAAGGAGAGGTCAACTCAAAGCCTGCGCAAGATGGGGGTGGGAGGGAGAAGGCGGTTAGGAAGCTCTTTTGCTGTAGTCTAGGTGAGAGATGGCCAAGGCAGGGCACCACGTGAGGGGTGTGCGAATCTTTAAACCAGCAGGGCTTGATCAGGCGTGGTGATGCTCTGCAGGCTTAGGTCTCCCGCAGGTGCCAAGTGCAGTTTAGACAAGTAAAGTGGACCTCAATCAAGAATCGTGACTTTTTGCTACCTGCTAGCTGTTTCCGTAGATGTAATCTCGTCATAAGCCCCCTGCTTTGGGGAGCTTCTCATGAGATGGCAACACTTCTAGTTTTCAGAGAAAGAAACCCAGGCTCTGTGGTTGAGGCCATGCGGTTAGTTCACTGGTCACTCTTGAAATCAGCCGCCTCCTGCAGGCCTGGGAGCTTTTCTTTGTCCGTCTAGAGCAGCAGTGGTTCTAAACCTGTGGGTTGCAACCCCTTTGGGGGCCGAATGACCCTTTCACAGGAGTCGCCCGATTCATAACAGTAGCAAAATTGCAGTTATGAAGTAGCAATGAAAATAATGTTATGTTCTCTTACACATAAAAAAAAATAATTTTATGGTTGGGGTCACCACCACATGAGGAACTGTATGAAAGGGTCGTGGCATTAGGAAGGTTGAGAACCACTGGTCTAGAGAGAGGGGGGCTTGGAGGCCAGACAGTTTCAGGCACTTTTACCTACAGAGAGATGCATCTGGTTGAGGACCAGGTTAGAACTATTTCCGTCCATCGAGGAAGAACCAGAGCCCTCCCCTCCTCCCACACCTCCAATCACTCAGGAGACCTAGAACACACCCATCATCTGATCAGAGAACTCAATGGATTTGTTAACTCGATGTATAGTTGTTATCCAAGTAATCCAGAGGGTCAGAAGTGAGCTTGCAGGTAGCACCTTCAGGAAGCAGCCTAGAGGGAGGGAAGAAAAGGGTGAGGATGGAGTGGTGGACATTTAGAAACACCTGGCAAAGCGG